CATTTTCTTGAAAATATCCATTTTTGTAAATAATTAATTTTTATCTTTGTATATTTAATATGTTTAATAAATATATATATATACTTATATACTTTTTTAGTTAAATAATTAGAACAAAAAAAATACAAAAAAAATACATTTCATTTTTATTAATATTTTACACTAAAAAACATTTTTTTTACAATATACTTTTATTTTTGTATAAATTAATATATTATTGTATATCATTAATAAATAATGCTATTTATTTAAGAATTAGGGTTTTGCCCTAAATAACAAAAATAATCAAATTTGACTTCCTTTTTTTTGTTTATATTTCACATTGAAAAATACCTTTTTCACATACATAAAAATCTTTTTATTTGCATAATACATTTTATTTGATATTTGTTTAATTGTATTTATTAAAATTTTAAATATTGTCTTGTACATTCAATTTGGTTGTAATAGTAATCTAGGGTTTAATTTCTTGTCAAATATCCCCAATTCAAATTTGTACCCCCCTCCCTATATCATGTTGTAATAGTGTAGCATTTAAATTCTCGCACATTTAAAAAGCTTTCAATTATGCCATGCCTAGACTTAGGGTTTATATGCAAAATAAAATCAACAAGTAGTTTGACCTAATCCAAGATAACAATGCATGAAAACAAACACAAATTCACACTTGCACCCCTAGGTTTTCATCCACTTGTTGCCTTCAAAAATGGGCCATGGTTGCATGTCAAGTACTTTGGCAAAATAAAAACAAACAAAAAGATCATAGTCCCTCGATGACGCTATCTGAGTTGCCTAAACAAAAATGATCAAGTCCCTCGAGAAAATTGCCAAAAATACTTGACACTTTGCTATCATGGTCTATATGATGACCCGCGCCTGTCCCGTTAACATTCTAACACAAAGTTGTTCACCAAATACAATGGTGAAACAACACTGTTAAAAGGGTTAAAAACATAAGAAAGATCTTTGAGTAAAATAGGGTAGATAGCTCTTAGTTACTTGATCAAGCTTGCAAAAACATCCTTGCTACTTTTCAAAACACACTCCACAACACAATTTCAAAACCCTACTTTCAAACATTGAAAACCTTTCAAAAGACAAAAACACCTTTGTATACATTCAAACAAGAATCATTACAAAGGTTGCCACAACGATGACCTCTTTTCAAAACGTTTTCCAAAATCACACACAAAACACCATTTCAAACAATTGAAAAGCAAAGCAAGTGATCTAAGCAAGTAACTAAGAGCCCATGGATAACCATGGATAGAAAGGGTGCTAATACCTTCCCTTTCTATAACCTACTCCCCGAACCCAAGAAAACATCTCAAAGGTCTTTCCTGTGCTTTTTGACCTTTCCTTAGGATAAAATAAAAAGTCTGTGGCGACTCTTGCTAAACCGAAACATTTGCAAACACAAACGCAAAATCCCAAGTCAGTTCCCCCACCATATCACAATATGCCTCAAATATTTATATATGTACAAAATGTGCGTAGGCCCAAAAATGTTATGAAAAATGTTTTTGGTATTCTCTCCTTTTAAACCATTGATTATGGGTTACCAACTTCCCGACATTGTACGTTGCATTTTCGTGGTATTTTTGTATTGATTTGAACATGGTGAAAAGTATCAGCAAGATCTTTATGTTTGTATCGTGGGCGTAGGCGTAGATATAGACGTGGACGTGGACGCGTGCGCAAATTTTTGATGTTTTTCTAACCAAAACGCTTTTCGATGTTTTATCTAGTGCTTTTATTTTTCAAATCCCCAAAATATTTTCAACGCAGTATTCACAAGAAATAATTGTAGTATTTTGCAAACAAGTCTGAAAAAGAAAAATACAATTTGCAAGATGGAAAAAGTAAATGTTTCATTGATATGCCTCTGAATAGGCGAGAATACAAGATGTAATTCCTTAAAAGAGGTAATTACAAAATGTTTTAAAATTGTAAATGGCAATGAACATGATAATTGCTACTATTGTTTCCCCAATGTTCTCTTGATAGCTCCAATCTTCTTTGCTTCTGAGTTGAATAATTTAGATCCATCTCTTCCTTCATGGTTTGTAGTCGCAATTCTTAGATTACAGTTTTTTTGTTCTTTATTTCTTCGAATAAGATCCCTAATTTTTTTTCTGGATCGCCCTTTCAGGTTTTCAATCCACCAGGATAATTTTTTTTGTGTATGTCCCTAATTTTTGCCTAGATCTCCCTTTAGGGTTTTCAATCCACCAGGACGCTCCTTTTTGCCTAAGTCGACTATTTAAGGTTCAACCTTAGCGAGCTTTCTTATACATAGTATTTTTTGACTGCGTCTGAATTTGCTAGATGTGATAGTTCTTCCCCATCCATTATTGTGAGGATGAGACCACCACCAGGGAATGTGGTTTTTACCACATATGAACCTTCATATTTGGGTGTCCATTTACCACGTGAATCGAGGCGAGGTAGCAGAATCTTCTTGAGCACCAAATCCCCTTCTTTGAATAGTCGAGGGCTGACTTTCTTGTCGAAGACTTTCTTCATCCGCTTCTGATATAATTAACCATGATACAAAGCTGTCAAGCATTTCTCTTCAATGAGGTTGAGCTGATCAAGTCGCGTCTGAACCCACTCGGCTTCTTCAAGCTTTATTTCCATTATAACTCGAAGCGATGGAATCTCTATTTCAACTGGGAGTACTGCCTCCATGCCATATACTAGAGAAAAAGAAGTTAAACCTGTTGATGTGCGTACAGAGGTATGATAGCCATGTAGAGCAAAGGGAAGCATTTCGTGCCAATCTTTGTATGTCTTCACCATTTTGTGAATGATTTTCTTGATATTTTTGTTGGCAGCTTCAACGGCCCCGTTAATCTTGGGTCGATATGGTGGGGAATTATGATGCTTGATCTAGAAATCGTCGCATAACTCTTTCATCATTTTGTTATTCAGATTAGACCCATTGTCCATTATGATCCTGCTAGGAACCCCATATCTGCATATGAGATTTTGCTTGATGAATCAAGTAATCACTTGACTTGTCACATTCGCATATGATGCCACTTCTACTCATTTGGTGAAGTAATCAATGGAAACCAATATGAATTGGTGTCCGTTAGATACTTTCGATTCAATCATGCATATCATATCAATTTCGCACATCGAAAACGACCAAGGAGAGCTCATAACATTCAGAGGAGTAGGTGGCACATTCATTTTGTCGGTTTAGATTTGACACTTGTGACACGTTTTTGTATAATGATAAAAACCGACTTCTATCGTTAACCAATAATAACCCGCTCGTAAGATTTTTTCTAGCCATGGCATGTCCATTTGTATGAGTTTAAAAAGTACCTTCATGGAATTCTCTCATAAGTGCATCTGCTTCCTATTTCTCCACACACCTGAGTAGCACCATATCGTAGTTTCTTTTGTATAACACATCACCACTCAAAAAGAATTTTGAGGCTAGCCTTCACAGAGTTCGTTTGTCAATGATAGAGGCATTTTCTAGATATTCTTGTTTTTCAAGGTACCTCTTGATGTCATAGGACCAGGACTTGTTATCCGGTCCCTCTTCAATAGCAAAGAAATGTGCAGGCTCTTCAAAATGTCTGATTGTAATGCACAGTTTGTGGTTTGGCCAAGTTACCTTGAAGATAGATGATAGGGTTGCAAAAGCGTCTGCCATCTAATTTTCTTCTCGTGGGATATGACTGAAGGTGATCTCAGTGAATTCTGTAGCTAGCTTTAAAACATATCCTGATATGAAATCAATTTGGGATGCTTAGTGTCCCATTCGCCATTGAATTAGTATATGACTAGCGTGGAGTCTCCAAATACTTCGAGGTGTTTGATCCTTAGATCGATGCCAGCTTCCAGATCTATGATACAAGCTTCGTACTCGGTGATATTGTTGGTGCAGTCAAAACATAACCTTGCAGTATAAGGTTTGTGATAATTCTTCAGAGAAGTCAAAACTGTCTCGATGCCATGCCCCAGTGCATTCGAAGCTCCGTCGAACATGAGTGTCCAACGTGCCCCTAGTTCAGGTCCCTCGCCGGACCCTGGTATTTCGTAGTCGCTTATGACCATAACATCTTCGACTGAGAAATCGAACTTCATTGGTTGATATTATGGCAACGACTGATGAGCTAGGTGATCATCTAGTACACTACCCTTGATGGCCTTTTGAGTAACATATTAGATGTCGTACTCTGACAGTAACATCTACCATCAGGCAATCCTTTCTGTAAGAGTCGGTTTTTCGAACACATACTTTAAAGGATCCATTCTTAATAACAAAATCAAGTAAATAAATCAACGCAAGGTTAATCAATTAAAGGCGAAAAAGAGGTAATAAGAGAGAATGACAACTTGATTCTGCTTGAGAAACTGCACAAAACAAACTTGTTAGTAATCACAAGAGAATTGAAACTAAATGAAACTTGTATGAATGTATCATGAATGAACATCAAGTCATCAAACAGCTATCATGATTATCGATTCACAAATGAAAACGTGAACCAAGAATTCAAGCTCTTATCCATTTCAAGTTCATGATATAAAAAATCAAGCTCAAAGTAAGCTTTACTCAACCAAACCAAATTGCGGACATCAACTATACCAACCTATTGATGCTCAACAATTCAATATCACAACCAAGTTTACCTCATTCCAAATTGACACAAATGAATCAAAGTGAAATCATCTACATCTCTTGAACACTAACTCAAATAACACGGTATCTCAAATTAATTCAAATTAACTCAAACAAAAGGAAATCAGAAATCATCAACCAAAATTCATCACAAATTTCTTTCCACTTATCACAATTTATCAACCAACTTATCATGAACAAGATACTATTCAAAGAGCAACATCATCAATTCAACTCAACAATAATCCAACAACAATATTATTATCGATTCTCAAATTCAAAACCAGTATCATAACAATTCAATTCAAGCACAAATGGAAATGTATAGACATCAAAACCTTATCATCCGAAACTTATCTCAAACACAACACAACATCACAAGTTCAACACAAACTAGTTTTAATCTCAACAATGAACCAACAATCTTAACAATATCACAATTAATTTCATGAATTATCTCTAACACAACAAACAAAATTCGGAGGGAGTGTGCGGGCTTGTAAGTTGTACGAACACGAACAGAGGAGTTGGACAGTTTAAGGTGATGCTGTGAGCAGAATAGCGGCCGTTTCCTCTTTTTTCTTTGTATCGCTATATCTCCAACCCTTATAACCAAACAAAACCTTATCCACATTTTTAGGTTTAGAAGAAATATCAAATTGACCCTCTTTGAAATATTTTGCAAATTGAAGTTAATCTAAATACAAAATAAAATAAATAATAATTTTCTTATATATATAATTTTTATAATCTTAAAATTAAATCTAAACTAAAACTTAACTAAATAAAATAAAGACATATATTTCTTATATGTAATTTTTTAATACAATTAAAACTAACACAAAATTTAAACTTAAAGGTAAACAAAAGAAACACATATTTTTTATATATTTTTTAAATGAAAATAATAAAATAAATCAACAAAACCTAATTTTAAAAACAAAAAGAATTTATATATAGATAAAAAAAATTCAGATCAAATACAAAATGCGCGTAAGATGCAAATGAAAATGTGTTTGAATATAAATAAGCGAATGAGAAAAAAATCAAGATAAAATTTAGGATGCAACAGAGGAGAAAGAAATTCTCTATTTATAGAGAGTTACTAAAACCCTAATACTTTTATTTTAAACTTTTCCAAAATTACCACAATCTTATTTATATTTAATTAAACTCTTTTATTAAAATAAAGTAAAATAAATCATATTTTATTTAATTAACAATCAATTCTCATTTATTTAATTAAACCATATTTTATCAAATAAATTATATATGTGTTAATGTATTAAACACTTTAAATACTATAACACGTAATTAAATTAAATATTATTTAATTTAATCATTCATTCCACTATTAGTACTCTATGTGTGTGATTGTGAAGGTTCTCGTAAAATTATAAATAATATTAAATTATATATTTAATATTATAAATAGTGAGTGGTATCTAACAACACATCATTGTTATCCAAGTGACAAGAATGTCATGTGATATGACATAACATTTCTATGATAATGATCACGTGTATAATTATCTTGTTTTCTTTATATCTATATTGAACATAATGCATAGAATGCGTCACCCTTGTATAATCCAATATTATATTATTTGATCTTCGAATATACTTGATAGCAACAAATAAGTTAAATATTTCATATAACTTATTTGAGCACGACCATGTATTTTACAGTCATACTCGATCAAGAAGCCCATAGATATTACTCTCGTATATGTATGAGAGAAAAATCACCATCTAGGTCACTCATGTCCCTAAACATGATTTGTATAGTACCCATCAACCATCTTTTTGGTCATCTTGTTACAAACAATATTTGATTGGCAATAAAGTACTTAACTCCACATCTAGGGCCCATAATGGTTTCAGGTCTAAGAGTGATATACACCACTTTTACTATGAGAATAACTTATGCCACTTACATAACATACTGTGATACGGTGGAAGAACTGACTTGAGGATTTTGCGTTTTATCGTAAATGTTGCGGTTAGCAAGAGTCGCCATCGACTTTTCTTTTATCCAAAAGGAAAGGTGAAAAAGCACAGGAAAGACCCTTGAGATTGTTTCTTGAGTTCGGGGGGTAGATTATGAAAAGGGAAGGTATTAGCACCCTTTTCATTCATGGTTTTCCATAGGCTCTTAGTTACTTGCTAAATCACTTGCTTTTGTTTTGAAATTGTGCTTTGTGTGATTTTTTTGAAAGTATTTTGTAAAAGAGGCCATTGTTTAGGCAATCTTTGTAATGATCCTCGTTCGTAAGAATGTATACAAAGATGTTTGTCTTTTTGAAAATGTTTTCAATGTTTGTAAGATGTTTTGAAATGTGTGTGTGTTTTGTTTTAAAAAAAGTAGCAAGGATAATTGCTTTGAAAAGGAGCAAGTAACTAGAAGTAATCTACCTACTCAAATCTCTTTCTTATTCCTTTTCTTTTCCTTTGATATTGTTGTCTTACCATTGATTTGGTAAGCAACCCTATCTTTGAATGTAAACGGGACGGGCGTGGGTCATCGTATAACCATGATTAGCAATGTTGTAAAGTATCTTAGCATTTTTTTTAGGGACTAAGATCATTTTATAAGGCAACTTAGAATAGCGTCATCGAGGGACTATGATCTTATATTTGTTTGTTTTGCCAAGATACTTCGCATGTGTAATATGGCCATTTTTTGTATAAGGCTACCAAGTGGAGAAACCCTAAGGATGCTTGTGTGCAAGTGTGTTATTTTCATGCTTGATTTTGTCTTGGATTAGGGTTTTCTATTTGATTTGTTTGGATCTTGCCATACAAACCCTAATTACTAGCATGGTATATAAAAGCGGTAAATTGTGTAATTTAAAGATTACTATACTATTACAACATTTTATGGGAGGGGAGAATACAAATTATGAATGGGGATTTGCAATAATGTAAGTCTAATTAAGCTATTACAATCAAATCGAATTTGTACAAGTATTTGAATAAACAATATACAATATAATTTAAATATGCAATAATATATATATATATATATATATATATATATATATATATATATATATATATATATATATATATATATATATATATATATATATATATATATATATATATATATATATATATATATATATATATATATATATATATATATATATATATATATGCAAGAAAAAGGTTTTTGCTTTGTTTTTCATATGCAAAAGAGTTTTGACCTAATCCTAATAATTTAAGAAAAGGAAAATATTTCTTGAAAATGTGGTTAACCCTAATTTCTAATTAAAAAAAATTCTTTAAGTATTACTTTTGTGTATTTTTTGTATTAAAAGTAATAGATAATATTTTGTGGAATATTTAGTCTTTTTATATATCAAAATAAATATTTACAAGTATGAAGAAAAATGAATAAAATATATTTAAGTTTATTTTATTTTAAAAGTTTGTTTAAGAAAAATAATTAGTATATAATTAAATAAAAATATTTTTTATGTGAAAATAAAAATAAAATAAATCAAGATGCAATATTTATCATATTTTATTTTTTCATGATTTTTTATACTAAAGAAAATGTTTAATAAAATAAAAATGAAAATAAAAACAAAGAAATAAAATGCATGGGCCAGGGGGTATCCTGAGCAAACAGGAGGTAAGTATCAGAAAAATGTGAAACCCAGTAGTTGAGCCCACGCTGCAAAAATGGCCAAAAATGAAACTGGAAAATATGAAAATGCGAAAGGTAGCGCCAAGGTTCGAACCCATGACCTATGCATTTTCAGCGCGCTACGTTGCCACTGGGGTGGCTGTACATCCGTTAGTTCATATGAAATATAAAACACATAACACATAACGCCTCCTTGCCATGTACTTCATCTTCTTCCTCAAGCTAGCCAGACCAATCATATCTCTCTCATTTCTCCATGAAAATGGAAACTTCCAACATGAAAATGATAGTACTCTTTCCCACGATTTCAACCATGTAACTCATGTAAACTAACAGTCAATGATCAAAACTAATTTCAAAGACCCTAATTTTAAACCTAATTTTTACATAAATTTGAACTCTAAAATTCTCTATACACAATGAATATAAATGAAATCTATGAACATGGTTGGTTTTAGCACAAGGATATCTATATTTTATCTTCACAAATCGTGACCAATAGATGCCTGTATGAAGAGATAGAAGTTGGAGTTCTTACCTCTTTCAGCTGAGATCGTGAATGGAGTTTGAGTGAGTTTTATGAAGGCCTGAAGATTCCTTTAGCTTGCCTGAACCTCCCTGAGTGTGTTCCAATCCTTACCTTGCTTTGAAAGTGCTTGAACCTCTCTATCCAAGTCAACCTGCAAGCTTGAAAAACAAAAATGGCAGATGGAGAATGAGGAGTTACAGTGAAGGGGTGATGGTATGGAACACTTAGATATGAGGTAGGTTAAGTGTTTGAATGATTAGAACTTGAAACACATGAGTAAATTTCTGGATTGCTATGCTTGGTCTCAAACTGCAAGTTTTGACAGGTTTTTGGTGATAGGAAGTTTTAGAGAGTTTATGGCCTTGAGCAATCGTGTTCTCAGTTTTAATGTGTTTGTGTATTAGTATAGAGAAGGTTTCTAATCCACTCCACAACAGATTTCTGAGTTATAGGCTTTTTGCACTTTTACTTGCTTTTGAAGCAAAGTGAGGAGACAAGTCTCTACATGCTTGTACAGGCCCGCTTGGAGTTGGTACAAGTCCTAGACAACTTGCTTTTGGTTTATAGGACTCGTGTGTGCAGAGAAAACAGGTCCAATGCTCAAGAAGTGAAAAGTTGTAAAAGTCATGCTTTTCTAAAATGGCAATGGCAACTTTGTGCCATTTATGGAATTAAGGATTTATCATCTGTGTAAGCATTAAATTATGAAGTGAGAAACAAGTTTGAGACCTGTAAAGCAAGTATTAGGCAGCATAGGTTCAAATTTGAATTTTGTTCTTCATGGAATGGCCTGAAATCAAAGTGAGAAATTGCCAACTTCCTCTCTTCGATTCTCCCTACTCAAGAATGATCTTAAGGAGTTCTTGGACATTTTGGAAAGCTTGAAATATTCTATATAACTCATATTTGAAATGCATTTCAATATTCCTCTTATAACTAGGTGAAAAATTGCCATTAAATTAGGTCAAAAACCTGCCTAAATTAGGGCAAAATTTGACTAAGTTATTTTAGTTCCTGGGCATGTATTCACAGAATTATATCTTGAGATCTAAGCATATTTAGGGAAAAACGTGTGAAGAAAAGTTGTATATTTCATGGATATCTACAACTTTCATGTTGGGAACTTTCTTTGAATCATCTTGTATCATGGTGAAAAAATGGCTTAAAGTTGAGAAAAAATAAGAAATTTCCTATACTTAGAAAAATTTCCAAGTTAAGAAAATTTCAAATTTCAAAACCAAATCTTCAATCTTTGATTTCTTGATGAACAAGTTTCACATTTTGATATGTTTTGATGAATTGTGATCCTTGGCACTTGATTTTGACCCAAAAGTCAAAGTTTGACTTTTCAGTATACAGTTGACTTTTGATCAGTTGACCGCAAATTTCATTTGTCAATCCAACGAAATTGCAATATTTTGAACCATGTTATTAGGTCAAGATGATACAA